GCCAAAATGATTTGCTCAGCAGTTAATTGCCTTATTTTAACTGTAAATAATTTTCTTGTTCCCAAACGTTTGACTCTTACATCAAACTATCACAGACTAACTCAATAATGTTCAGTAGACCACAGGTTGTGTGTTTTTTGTCCTGTCTCCCTTTCCCCAGCTCTTCCCCACTGTTACCAAGTGCTTGCTCATTGGGGCTCGTCTGTTTGTTAGGGTTGTGTTATTGTAGGGTCTTTACATTACAATATAAATGCCTTGAGGTGACTGTTGGGGGGATTTGCCACAATTAAAGCTGAAAATTGAAACCTGACTACAGGTTGAACAGGTGGCAACAGTTTTGTCATTGTCAGACTCAGAGACTGTAAATAAAAAATGGATGTAGCCACCATACTGTTACCTGTTAGTTCGTGCAGCCTCTGTCGCTGTCGCACCTGTATAATTTATAGGTGCCGCTTACTCGTGTTAGCCTGTAGCATAGCACTTTATCCCCTCGTGAAAAATGTGGTCACTTTAGTTTCAAACAACCAACATGGGAGTAGCCAAAATACTAATGCTAATACTAATACATCGCGGTGTTTCCCCCCATCTTTTATATTCAGTAGGTTGTTTTATAGCAACTGACCAGTGCCACCTAGAGGCAAAAAAGGAATATGAGTATTTTGTTACCAAGGAGCTTTATTGATCTGTTGTTTTCTTTTTGTTTGTGGCTGCACAACACAAGCTTTTAGCTTTTAAACGTTGTATAAATAAATGTACCCTGTGCATGTACTATATGAACCCCACATTATGTAGGTTTTAATATAACCCTCAGACATGTTTGTACTTACACTAACTGGCAGCGCTTTACCTTTACCTAGGTACCTTGAGGTTGTTCCTTGCTCTCTTGTCCCTCTCACATGCATATTCATGCCATCTGTGAGTGCTTTATGGTGCAGGATGTATTGGGTTTTTTATTGATTGGGAGCAGGTGGTGTAAAACATCCCTGAGGCTGCCAAGATTTCAAATGTAATTAGCAGATGTGGTCTTTGTTTAGGCTCTACGTGAGGTTGGCCCTGGTAGTTCTCAGCCCCTCTGAGCTCACAGGACGGAACAGAAATTTGATAATTGGTCAAATAAATCTTGGCTTACACATTTTGTTATCAACAAGCTCTGTAGCTCTTCCATTAAACCCCACTCTTGGATTAAGAATTGTTATGTGATTTGGATTTCTGTACTGTGTATTTGGGCAATATCCCGTCAGCAGCCTCCTTAAGGGACAAATATTTGATAAACATCCTGTTGGGAGCGGGCAAAAAAGCGCTTACCAGGAGGTGGCTGGAGAAAGAGCCCCCAACAAAGAAAGACAGGATAAGAATAATGGAGGAAATATATAGAACCTCAAAATGGGCCAATTTCATAAAATCTGGAGGAAGTGGGAGAGATTTGTTGAAGGTGGTAATGTGGGATGATGGGTGGTGGGTTATATAACCAGAGCTTAACTAAGTATTTTCACGCAACTACTGGAAGAAGGAAGGCCTGCTAAGGACGTGGTCACTGTTTTTTAGAAGGCAGCTCATAAAAGAGACTGGAAATAGCCTTCCGAATATCATCAGGGATGGACTGTAAAGTGCTGCGTGGACAGTAGCAAAAACCTGACAACATGGGACCTGTGAAGAGGTGGAGGGGAGCTCCCCCAGACCGGGCAGGTCTGATGGTTTCACTGTGCCATTATGTTATTGTCAGTGCGTATTATGTTTGTTTGTTTGTTTGTTTTTTTGTTTGTTTTTTGGGGTTTTTTTTTGTTGCTGTTTTTGTTTTTTTCATGTGGAAAAAAAAAAGAATTGTTATGTGAATTAAGATCTCCATTGTTTCTAAGGTGCCCAGATGTGACAGACAATATTTAGCAAAAATGCTACAGAAAATGAAATACTTGGAATTCCCTCCTTGATTCTATATGAAATAATTGTATTCATAATGGCTGTTTTTAATTTCATGTAGAATAAGCGCCATGCTTTACTGTGACATTAGCAAACCAGCATTCATGCTTCCTCCCTGGCTGGTTCAGTCCCAGCAATCCAGGAACGAACAAATACCCTAGGATTAGGACTGCCACGATTAGTTGACTAGTCACGATTACTGATTTGAAGCTTGAAGCTTTGTAAGATCCCAAAAGA